TGTGGGGAAGAAAAGAAAAAGCAAAAAACAAAACACGATAGGAAGCACCACAAAAGCATCGTCGAGTCGCCAGGACCAGCGTCTTGGGCCCTGTCGAGCCAAGCTGCAAGTGCTTGTTAGTGCGGGATTGACGTTGACTGTAGCCAAAGCTTAGAAGTGCCTCAGTCCGGCCCAGACCCCGAGCCAGCCAACCAAGTCAGCCGCCCACTCTCAGTCGGTCTACCTCACTCGCTCGCTCTCCCTCTATCACTGTCTCACTCTCGCGCGCTCGTCTTGAGTTGCATTCCTTTGCAATTGTTTGGGCGCTTTTGTTTTGTTCTGAATTTTTACACGAAAAAGTCATTTGAATATGCGTCCTCGTCGTCATCCTGGCACCTACTGTGCCTCCCGCCTGCCTCCACCTCGTCAGCAGCTGCGTCTGCCCCCCTCCCTCTCTCTCTCTCTCTCCCTCTCGCTCAGCGGATTGAAAGTTTTGTTAGCCGTCAGCTACTTTGCTCGTCGTGCTGCCTGCCTGCCTGCCCGCCTGCCCGCCTGCCGTCGTGCTTGTAGTTGCCATTTCCAAGTTTTTAGTTAAGGTTGAGGGCATGACTTGCGGCTGCCATTAATGTTCTCCGTGCAGCCTTGACAGGCGACTGCTGCAACAAATGGCGACAATAAACAGTACATTGTACATAAAACACTCTTGTGCACTCATCAATGGGCGAGCGAGCGTCATTTGTTGCTCGGCGCGCCTCTCTTTGCGATTCTCATTGACTGCCCAAGTTCTCTGGCAGCAAATTGATTTGAAAATTTCAAATTGACTAAGAGACTAAGATTGAATCGCTCAGCTGCAGAAGAAGTTGGGCTTGAGACTTGCTCGAGTAACCACAGGACCGAGATCAAAATCTAAATAGAGGCGCAGCAAATATTGCTGCCTAAACTCTGGCAGATATGCTTAGGCATGCATGGCATATCGGGCAGCTTGCAATGCCAGCTAGCATCCAGTTAAGAGTCCTTTGGGACGTTTTGCTGCGTCTAATCCACTATCAGTAAGGCAAATGTGCTTACCGTGCGCAGTCTTTAAGGGTCACACACACTATCATGCTTGCTGGACATATGTCTCTGTGTGCGTGTGCGTGTGTGTGGTGCACAAATATTGTGTTCCGTTTTTTGCCTGCCAGCTACGTAAGCATTAACTAGTTGAGTCCTGACTCTGAGTGTGCGTGTGTGTATGTGTGTTTGCCTACGCTTCTCTTTGTGGTGTGAGTTAAACTGGTTGCTGGCGTTTATCTCAAGTTTTGTGAATGCCGTTGGCTGGTTTAGTTTGGCAACATATTCAGCTGACAGCAGAGAGAAATGCGGCACGGCTGGAGGACGCCTCTTGGCAACACCTCAACTGAACTTTGACCGTTTGGTAACTCATTTAGTTAGATTATTTACGGTAATCCAAGACGCTGCCAGAGACAGCAACCAACTACACACACGCACACATCCGTACACACACACACACACACACACACACATGCTGCTGATGATGGCGACTTGGGCGGCTTCGCTCTTGGCCTCTGGATGAAGCAGCAATAGCAAACAAGCAGCCCATAGGCTAAATACATGCAAGTTGTTTTGCTAAATTGTGCGTAAGCCAGCAATAGCAACAACAACAGCAACAATTGTAGCTACAACAACAATAATGCAAACAACAACTGTAACAGCAACAAGGATCTGCGACTAGAAAACTTTCTCAAGCTCTGCAAGGCAATTCAAATAAGACTTTTATGCTGCTTCCTTGCAACACGGCTGCTGCTGCTGCTGCTGCTGATGCGGGTGGTGCTGGTGGTGGTGCGGGTGGTTGCTGGTGGTTGCTGGTGGTGGTGCTGTGGTGGCGCCTCTTCAACTCGTCTCGTAGCTGCTACGTGTTTGCGGCGTGTGTGTTACATGATTGCCACGCCCACACGGCTGCCCTCCTGCAGCTGCTGCTGCTGCTGCTGCCGCTGCTTACCTTGGCAGCTTGTGCGTGCGCTCATTAGCATTCTGAAACGGCTTTATAAAATTCAACAAGCAACAATCCAAACGAACCAACAACAGCAACAACAACAACAGCAAACCAAACCAAACTGAACCATATACAGCATCAGCATCAGCATCAGCTTCAGCTTCAGCTCCAGCTCTGGCCCTGCTCCCCTTGGCTTGCCCTAACCCACTCAGACCCAGTCGCTGCCTCTCCCGCACTCTCCCTCTCCCTATCTCTCCCTCACGCCGTCTCAGTTTAAGGCTCAGCTATTTCACCCACTACAGCATGCATGTTTTTAGATCTTCTAGTCTGCATGTCTCTGTTTGTTGTACTAAATGTGCTGTAAAAACATTTAAAGGGTTGTTTTAGCCCCTGCTTGACTAGGAATTCTCGAACTTTTATTTTTAGTTCTTAGAAACTTTAAAACTGCAGCTGCTTGCCTAAAGATAGTAATATTGTTTATGAAAAAGCTTAACATACTTTCGCTAACACGTATATTTAAAGAAATCTTAATATACAATATATCACTTGAATGACCTTTTGGGACTTTCTTGGATCTTGAAAGCACTGATGTATTGAGGGCTTAACCTTCTGATCAATTGCTTATTGGATAAAAAAGAAGCCTTACAGTTGGCTTATAGCTGCTTAAAGTGAGGGAGAATTTTAAAGAGAGAGAGAGAGAGAAAGAAAGAGAGAGCGAGAGAGTAATAGATTCTTGTATATAATTGAATGATCTATCTCTATCTCTCTTTCTTTCTCTCTATATCTCTTGCTCTCTCTCTCTCGCTCTCTCTTTCTCTCTATATCTCTGTGACCACACTCTTTCTCTCCCTCTCTCTTTCTCTCTCTAAATCTCCCGCTCTCTCACTGTCTCTTTCTCTGTCTCTCTCTCTCTCTCTATCTCTGTCTCTATCTCACTCTGTCTGTCTCTCAGTCTCCCTCTCTCTTTCACATAGTAAACTTAGTATGCGATTCTTTCAAATGCTTTGAGCTACTCATGCAGGGTATCTCTCAACTCTAGCTGCTTAGCTATTTGCTGTTATTTTACTCATTTTATTGTGCACAACAGGAAAGAGAGTGAAAGAGAGAGAGAGAGAGAGAGAGAGGGAGAGAGATACCCACATGCACATCCTTATTCTGTTGTTATCCTGGCGCTGTCTGTCGCTGGGTGTTTGTTTTTATTTTTTCATTTTTTTGTTGTTGTTGTGCCTCTCGCCTGCTGGCTTGCCTCGAGTTGCATAAATTGAATCTGAATTTGTGAGTAAATTGCACACAGGAGACACATTATTTTTGAGTTTTGCCTTTTAAATTTGTGGCTTTTCACTTTGTGAGAGACAATAGGCGTGCGAGCGAGACAGCGCCAGTGGCTGAGTGTGCGAGCGAGTGCGGCGATGTCTGTGCCCATGTAAGTGCAGCAGCAGGAGGCATTGCAACAGTCTCGGTGCCTCAACGTTGTGTCACTTGCCGTTTGGCAATTTTTGTGTGTGTGACCCACTTGAGTGGCGCAGGCACGCCCACCAGCTGGCCGGAAAGGTCGCTCGGCCACGCCCACAATTTAAATCAATATTAATAGCGTAGGCCTCTTTTTCCGCAAAATGCATTTGCACAAATTGCTCGACTATAAATACCAGCAGAAATGTTTATTTAATATGTGCCAGGCGCTGCCGAGTACGTACGCCCATCTAAATATACCCAGCCCACCTAGGGACACACACACACACGCACATGTACATAGATGTGCACTCATATATATATACTATAACTAAAACCCCTTTTTCCAGTTCGTAGTTCAAGCTTAGATGCAATGCAATCCGATTCTCGCCCTGTCTGCGTGAGTGTGTGTGTATGTGTGTGTGGAAGCTTTTCCATATGCAAATTGTTTTTATAAATTTGCAACAAGCTCTCATTGTTATTGTTATTGCCGCTGCTGCTGCTGCTGCTGCTGCTGCTGTTGCTGCTGTTGCATAGCAATTTGTGTATAAAGTTGGTGCAATAAAAAGCCAAGTGGACAAGGAGCAGCTGTAGCTGGCCATTGGTTCCGGTTACTGCGAAGAGTGGTATAATCAAAACCGTAACAATCGCCACAATTGCAATAGAATCGTCGTTAATTACTGTCTGTGCTTGCGGTTCAGCTCCAGCTCCAGCTCCAGCTCAGCCCCCTCTCACACGCTCTCTGACTAACAACCAGCTAGATTTGATGTGTGTGTGTGTGTGAGTGTGTGTGTGTGTGTGTGTGCAGCGCCTAAAAGAGCAAGACAAATACGAACGAGCGCTGCTGCGGCTGCTGTGTGTCTGGCAAAGAAGTTGGAGCTGAGTCTGGAGTCGGGAGTCTGGAGTCTGGAGCAGCATCGTTAAGCGTCGCTGCCAAGTGGCAAAACTCAAATAAACATAAACGTGCACACACATACAAATGCAGAGCGAGCGAGAGAGCGAGAGGGAGAGAGGGGCAGAGTGTGAGGGCACAGCCAAAATCTGTGAGCTTGGTTTGTTGTCTTTGGCTGCTGCTGTGTGGGCATGGGAGACTCATTAAAATGCAGTGCGAGATAATAAGCATTTTAATTAAATATTTAACAAGAATAAGTTTATCACAACACGAAACGAGGGGAGTGTATATACATATACATACATATACATATATATCTTGCTCAACCCAACTCACTCTCTCGCTCTCTCTCTCTCTCTCTCTCTCTCTGTGTGTAATGGCTTGTAAGCGTCTGTCAGGTCGAGCATTAGCGGCAAGGCAAAGCGCTCGATTCGACTGGCATTTGGTTTGGGCCCGACGTCGTCGTTGACTTCCACTTGCCTAGCCAATATTTTGATGTAATTTGAGCTTCTAATTGGCGCACGTGCTGGCACGGTTAACGTTCTCGGGCAGGTTGGCAGGAGTTCAGGTTTATCGAGCTGCTTGTCAAATATTTAAGCAACTTGTCTAACCGTGTTGATATTTACTTTCATCTCTCACTCACTCACTCACTCACTCTCTCACTCTCTCTCTCTTTCTCTATTACAGGGGCTTTGGCTTTGTCACATTCAGCGATCCAAATAGCGTAGATAAGGTACTCACCCAAGGCACACACGAGCTGGATGGCAAAAAGGTAAATCTCTACAAACAAACACCAACACATATGCACACCCATACATCTATATAGACACAAAAAAAAAAAAAAAAAAACTACCCGCCAATCCGTAACTCGAACCCAACTCATGACGTCGGCAAACAAAAAACTTCACCAGCTATGCAAAATATTTGCACAAAGCAACTCTCGCGCGCGCGTTCGCTTCATAAATTGCCTCCTATCTCTGTCTCGCTCGCGCCCGTCGCTGCCTCTCCCTCTCTCTATTGACAGCAATTAGAAACTCAAAGCAATGACAGGCAACTAACAAAAACAGCAAATCACAAAAGTTAAAAAAAAAAAAAATCATGGCAAAAGCCAAAAACAACAACACGCCGAAGAAGCAGCAGCAGCAGCATCAGCAGAAAGAAAACAATAACCTGTCTATGAAAAGCGCAGATTTTTGTAAAAGCCAAACAATTTTTAATTACGTCAGGTGCTGGCCAGGCATTGGCTGCGCCTTTGTCATTACAGCTTCTCATTTCCTATGTAAATATCAGCAGCAAAGGAAAAATCATGCTCAATAATTTCAAATATTAAAGGCAGCCCAAAGGCCCTCAGATACGAAAAAGAAAAAACTAAAAAATGGAAAATTTTTTTTTTTTATAAATAAATGAATTGGTTAGAGTAGTCAAAATATGATATTGTGCAAATTTGATAGACGAAAGGCAAATTATTTGTAGCCTTAGCACATTTTAAGTCAAAAATTCTTAAAAACAAATTAAATATATTTTAAGCCAAATAGAAAACAAACAAAGCCACAATAGAAAAATATGCAGATGCGAAGGCTTGAAGGAGCTCCAGCCATAACTTTGCTCGAAGTCTGTTCAATACGGAGAATATAAGGATTTCTTTTAAATACAATTAAATAAGCCAAACAGCGTTAGCTAGACATCAAAACACACACACACACACACAGACACACACAAACAAGCTTGGCCAACGTCTTTGGGCACGTTCAGGCTGGCTATGCTTTGCTTTGATGATATTTCCAGATATTTACATTAAATTTGACTTCAAAATACAATCAAAATATGATTTTTAAATGAAAGTGCAGAATTAATTAGAATGCAAATCAAAGAGGGAAACCCCTATATATCGATTACTTTGTTGAATTTTTAATAGCAGAACTTTAATTTGTTTTTGTGTTATTTAAAAGCAAAAATTAAACTTAAACATTTTTAATATTAATAATCTTTAATTTAATAGCCGAAAGAAAATTTAAAGATTTTTTTTATTATTTTTTTAATTTTATTTATTTATTTTTTTTTAATAAAAAAATATTTAATTTCTGATTTACAAAATTCCTGAAAAATTTTGGCTTACAAAAGAGAATGGAGAATTGGATCAACAAAGCTTTTCTTATGAAAACGGAATTGAGTTCTATTATTAAATTGAATAACTTTTGCCAAAGCTATGAGAATTAAAGGATTTTACAAAGAAACCCATCTCAATCGCCTATGCAGATATATATATTAGCTTATTCCTAATAAAAACTAATAGACAAATGTTGAGCTACTTGAAGGTCAGTTGAATGAAATTTTTTTGATGAATTTCTAGGTTATATTGACAATTATCTCTGTTCTCAGAACTTAAAACTTTGGTTACAATTCAACAGATATATAGAGATATATGTATATATATTTATGTATACAAAGAGAGAGAGAAAGAGTTCTGAGAACAGACGAAACGAGTTCATATATTTGCATACACAACATACATACATACATCTACATATACATACATGTCTACAACCTGTTCAGTCCACACTTAACTCTGTAATCCGCTTCATTTGTCGTGTCATTGATCAGTTCATTTTGATTAGCAATTTGCATTGGTGAAGACAGCAGTTGGTGCTTGAAGGCAGCTCACATTACGCATACGCCGCATTGGCATTAGCTTAATTAGCTGCACGGTGCACGTGAGTGTGTGTTGGTGTGGGTGTGTGTGTGTGTGTCTGCAGTTGGTCACTCTTTTATGGCAACACAGCTGGCCAACTGTAAATAAAATGCGCAGCCATCATTTATATGGATATGTATTTCACTTTTCTATTTTCTATTTTATTTTCTATTTTTTTATTTTTATTTACCAAACCAACTGCAACACACACACACACACAGACTAGTAAGTGTGCGTGTGTATGTGTGTGTAGCTCAGTCGTGCAGCGTTTCGTGTTTCCGTTTGGCTGCACAACACACACACACACACACACACTCACACACACACACATAGAGCTCACGGAAAACTGAAAACGATGCGAATTCATTTCATTTCATTTCGTTACGCTTTTTCGGTCTGATGTATTTTCCAAAAAGTCGACGTCGACGTTTGCCACTCAGCGCTGATTAGTTTTAATTTTAATCTAAAAATCAATTTCCCGCCGGGCGACCGACCCCGCCCACAACAAATGTTGCTGTTGCTGCTGTAGCTGTTGTTGTTTTTCGTGCTGCACACAGGAAATCAACACGGCAAACTGCCGTCCTGTCACCATTTGCTGCTGTCCTGTGACAATTTTTGTGCGAATTATTATCGCCAGAGGATATTGCGTTGCTTTCACTGCCCAGCCACACGCTCGCCCCCTCGCCACCTCGCCACCCCTCACTCCCTTTGTCTTGCACTCACTGCAGCTATCTCTGCCAATATCTCTTCATTTTATTTGCCATTTTATTTGCGGCATTGGCTTAAGTTAGCCCAGCACTTGCAGCTAAATGCAGCGCAAAGTCACTTCAAAAAGATTTATCCCACAGCTGGATGGGATGGGGAGGGGACAAGGCCAAGCCACAGATCCACAGGCTTCCCTCGAAGCTGCCCCCCCTCGTGGCTTACCGTCGGTTGGCTGTCAGTAAGAATGCTGGCAGTGCGGCCAAAATGAGAACCAGCAAAGCACTTAAAATTGAATTTTTATGATTTTTAATTATTTTTAATGACGCTGCTTATTGAGGCAGTCGACGCAGCAGGGGAGACGAGCAGTGGGGCCATCCTACATCCCATGGAGGAGCAGCTACTCTGGACGCGCAATTTGTTATGCGTTAATTCGTGCGTGCTCAGCTTTCAAGTTGAGCATTGCCACACCGACCAGCATGACACCAACCGCACCGCACCCCCTGCCCATCATCCCTACTCGCTGTGCCCTCCCCTAGGAGTAATTCCTGCTTAATGCGCAATGCAGGCTTATGCAAGATTTATGCTTGGCTATTAATATGAAGAGTTGCTCGAAATGCTTTTTCATTTAAATGTCATTAAGCATACGATTTCCTCACACTCTCCACTACGCACGCTCCAGCTCTAGCCGTCTCACTCACTCACTCACTCACCCACTCTCTATCACTCTCTCTCTCTTTCTGCTTGCAGGTGGACCCGAAAGTAGCTTTTCCGCGACGTGCACATCCCAAGGTAAGTACAAGCAGAAATATTACCAAAAAAAAAAAAAAAAAAAAAAATTCTATATGTATGTGTGTATAATATTTTTGTGCGAGTGCTTGAGCACTTGAGTTTTGGCTGCAAAGGGGGGCAGCCTGCCGCTTCCTGGTCTGGGCAAAGGATGTGTCATAAGTAGCAGCAAATGGCAGATGAAATTAAAAACGGAAGATCTGGCATCTTCCAACAAAAACAACAACAAAAACAACAACAACAACATTAAATACCCGCCCAAAAAAAAAAAAATACTGGCAGGCAGATAACTTTGTGGCTGACAGGCAGCTTCAACTCCATCTACGCCCCACACTTGGCGTCTTGCCCCACTCCATCCGGCCCATCAGCTTCAGTTGTTTCTATGCCAGCAAAGTGATGATGACAACAAAATTTCGACAGCATTGGTTGTGCGTGTGTGTGTGCGTGCGTGTGTGTGTGCGTGGGTGTTTGTGCCCGTTTAGGACGCTCTCCTGCTCCTGCTGCTGCTCTTGCTGCTGCCACCATCTCTATCTTTATCTCGGCCCCTGCCACTGTCACAGCCGCTGCCTACTAAATGCCACACGCACATTTCGCTGCCTGCCACTGCGCTCGGTTAGACAGAGTTACAAATGTGTGCCCATCTATGTAGCGGCTTCATTTTTTCCTCCTTTCTGCCCGGCTGCTGCCGCCTTCACGAAAAAAATACTCTAAGCTGCAGAAGGAGTTAGGCGTGTCGAGTGCTGCATATGACGCGTAACGTGTTTGTACCTCTGGGAATTTAGCTAGAGCCTTGCGGAAATACATTTATTTTTCATTTTTTCGGCGTTTTCCAAGTTTCGTGTGTGAATAGGGGAAGATTGAGTGGGGGGAGTAGGCAGCGAAATTTAGGTCAGGTTAATATGAGAAGCAGAGACTAGCAATGCAGCTAAATGAGTCAGTTTAGAGAATTTAACATGAAGGAAATAATGAATTATTAAAAATTAAATAAAAATATTATATGTATAATAAAAAATAACGATAATTTGGTTATTTTATCTCAAGTTGAGTAGAGTGTCTTAAGATCTCTTCATCCATGAGGGTGAGAGAGAGATAGAGAGAGAGAGAGAGAAAAAAATTTACTGAAAAAGAAGTTATTGAGGATTTAAAAAAAAAATTCTTTTGTCTTGAGAAATTACAGACGATATCATAAAATAAAAAATAATAAAAAATTTTTATTACAAAATATTATTTCTTAGACATATTTCGATTTTAAAAAGAAGTTGCTGAAAAATGCTTATTATGAAAGAACAGTTATTATAAAGATCTGGAGAAAGAGATATCAAGAAAATCCTTTCTTGACTAAAAGATTTTTTTTCAGGATGTTTTTCTGTGATCTCTTCAATATCTTCTGCCTTACCATTAGCATCCTTTACTATCCCACCTTCCTTACTTTAAGTCCACAAATAGATATAAAATAATTATAGAATATATTCTTGTACTTTAAATAGCTTTTAAGCTATACATATGGTAAGCTGGCCGTTTTGAAAATGTCCATGCATTAGCTGAAAACTTTCGAGAGCTCAACAAATTCCTTAAGCTTGACAACTTCTTAGAACACAACTCAACATGTCGTAAGCGCTTAAACTGTTGACAAGTTTCACATGGGAGAACTTAGGTGGCCAACTGGCGCAAGGCGTAAAAGTTAAGCTCACATAAAGGATTAATTGCTCATGCCATTGTTTGTTTAGGCACGGCACAAAGTTCGGCTCCAATAATAACCTCAGCTGAAAACATAATTCGCTTTGGAGCAGCTTAGCTGTTATTATTCTAAGGGTATTTGCTAAGGCGGCTTTGTTGGAGTTTTTCGATTTGGCCACAGCGATTCTGCGACTAACCGCAAAGTACACCATAATACGCACCCAAAACGTCACACACACACACACACACACGCACATACACGCACATACATATACACCCACATAGACATATAGACAGAAACAGGCACACGCAATCGCTTACCAAGTGCGAGAGCCCTGAGCAGAGCAGGACCCAGTCGTAGGCAGCGCCTGCTTACTGTCCCTCTCTCTCACTCTCCCACTCTCTCCCACTCGCCTAGTCTCTGTCTCACTCTCGCTGTCCTGGAGGGCTCGTTGGCAGCGCTTTGCTTATCAACACGCAGCTGATTTCCGTTGCTATTCCTGCGGCGCGTGTTGCCATTGCCATTTGCCCGCGTCCTGCCACGCCTCCCGGCGCCCTGTGGCAGCGGCAGCGGCAGCACCCAACAATTATTTACGTAATGTTATTATTATAATATTTTTTTAAACGCATTCTCACTGGATTTGCGCCATGCCACGCAACGGAACGCAACGCAGTCGAGCAGGAGACGGCACAAGGATGCGGCGGCAGGCGACTAGGACAACGAGGATGGCTATGCGGCATTTGCAAGTGGCTTTGTGTTCTGCTTTGCTCTGTTCCTTTTTTTTTTGTGCTTTGCTGCTGGGGCGCGCGAAGATCCTCTCGCATATTAAAAGGCGTTTAAAAACATAAATCCAACGTCTAACGGCTGCTTATGAAAATTACGAGAAAAAAGTGAGTGAGTGACGCGAAGGGATGGAGCAAGTGAAGGGAGAGCGAGAGAGGGAGAGAGAGAGAGGGAGAGAGTGTGCGAGGTAGAGCGCAGCTTAGCAGGAGCCAAATGGCAGGCAGTCAGGACAGGCAGGACACCCAAAGGAGTTTGCTACGCAGGACACCTAAAAAAAAAAATATGAAAAAAATTGCATGCGACATCAGAAGCGACAAAAAAGAAGAAGAGATATAACAATATAAAAAAAAAAACGGGGAGAAAATGACGAGAGGACAATTTCTCGCACCGTTTGTCGACGGCCCAGGCCAGGCAGAAGGATTGCCCACAAAATGTGGCCCAAAATGTTTGCGGTTGCAGCGAAAGTTAAGAGTTTTTTTTTTCTGCCCATCTTCTTCTTCCCTATTTTTAAAGTAAAGGACTATGGGACTGGGACTGGGACTGAGCCATATAATGAAATGAAGCATACTAAATGAGCCTGCTAAGTTTTCAGTTGTTAGAGCGAAAGCGTGTGAGACGGGGAGCAGAGCGGGAGCGAGAGCGAGAGAGCGAGAGCGAACATAATGAAATGCGAAAAAATGATGATGATATTTTTGGACCATAAAATGCAGATGAGCCGACTAAGCACAAAAATAGTGTGGAGAGCTGAAGCACATTTCGAGTAGGCCTTGTGTGTGCAAGGGGTGCGCGTATACACACACACACACACACATAGGCACACACATAAGCACACACATCTATACATACAGACATCTAACACATTTTCATATTCAACATATTACACATACGCCGTGTGCGTCGCATCGACAACTCGTCGAGTCGTCGACTCGTTTTCAACGTTTGTGCAAACTTTTGTGAAGTTAATTTCTTTGCTTTTAAGCTCTCAGACTATGAATATGAAATGTGTATTTGTGCAACTTGTGTGTTTGGCCAATGGGTGCCACCGCAAATGCTGTCAACGTTGGGGAAGGGGCTGTGGTGGGAAGGAGGGTGAAGTGCCGGCGACTGGCTTACATATGTCATGTTAAAAAGTTCGCTTTAATGTGCAAAATTTTTGGTGGCCAAAGCCATAAAAGTGCATGGGATAAGTGAAATGGATTTCGCTCGACTGTCCCACATAAGTATGCTATAAAAAACTATGTGAACAAAAACAGCCAAAGAATGAGACACAAAAAATGAAAAAAAAAAAAAGCTGAAGAGAGAACTATACAAAACGGAATCTGTACGAACGACAGCGCAGCTCTGAACTTGCCGAGGATTTATGAGTGTTTGTAAGCGCCATTGTCACACACACAGCAATGCACACACATACATATTCGGCATATGCAGAAACAAATTTCAGCTATGCTGCCTTAAAATCTTGCATGCGATTTCAGCGAAGTCTTAATTAAATTTGCAAAAGGGAAACATGTGAATGGCTTTGTTTGATATGAATTATTGAGTATATATGTATATGTATATGTACATATATATATAGTGTATATATTTTTGAAGAAATTTTTGTGTGCTGCAGTTGATTGGTTATCTCAAATCGATTTGATTGGCTAGAATTTTGTGGTCTTTGCTATGCTTGAAACTGGTTTCACATAGTTTAGTAGATTTATAAGGAAAATTGTTGGCTGCTAAAGATATAGCAGAGGTTTAATATATACAGTTCTTGACATTGTTTTTTGATTTGAGCTGTTGGATCAATTAATCAATATTGTAAATTATAACGATGATAAGACTGAAGAAGATTAGAAGAAGATTAGATTAGATTAGATTAGATTAGCTTATCTAGCATGAAATGAAAAAATTACAATTACAGTTTCATATAGTTTCATCTTGTTTCACCTAGTTTCATCTAGTTTCACCTAGTTTCATCTAGTTGCATTGGCCAGCAGAATTGAATAGATAATTCTTTATAGACTCAACAATGTTGCCCTCTATCAATTATCGCCTCGCACAGCGACATTTTGTCATGGTATTGACAATTATTTAACTATAATATATTAAGCTGTGTGCTGTGAGTGCAACATTCTTCAAATAGAAATTGAGTGCGTGTAACATGATATATTTGAGCTCAGCCCAGACCGAGTGGACGGTAGTCAAATGGTGGCCGACCACAGACAATGCTACAAAATGATGCCAGCAAATGTGGAAATGTGGAAATGTGGAATGTGTTTAAATGCTGGCAAATGGAGCTGTCAAGTTATCGATTGTGATGGAATTTGTAAGCCTATTGGGCTTAAAATTCAAAATAGATTACAAAAACATAGGCGAACGTAAAGTTGTGGCCACATAAGTATGCAAGGGCAAAGTATGTCTGCAATTAAGGCACAAATCCTGTCAGAGATATAGTGCCACATGTGTGTGTGCGAGTGTGTGTGTGTGTGTGTGTGTAAAACAATGCGGCTTCGATTGCATGACCATGTCATAATGAAGCACATTTTGCTCCATGCTG